TCTATCTATCTATCTATCTATCTATCTATCCATCCATCCATCCACTTTACCTGCTTCTGCCTTTTCGAGTCACGGATGTCACTGGTGCCCATGTCCAGCTATCACTGTGTGAGAGACGGGGTACACCCAGAATGGGACTCCAGTCCATCACAGGAACACATAAAGACAAACAAGACAAACAGCCATCCACTCTCACTCAGGGACAATTTAGAGTTACCAATCAGTCTAACATGCAAATTTTTGGTCTGTGGGAGGAAACCGGAGTACCCAGACAAAACCCACGCATGCACGGAAAGAACACGCAAACTCCACCCAGAAAAGTCCCGGGCCAAAATTTGAACCGGCAACCTTTTTGCTGAGAGGCAACAACTCTACCAACATGCTGCCCCCATTTGCCCCCATCAGAAAATTTCATCTTGGAAAAAGCCATGCTATTTGCTCTTGTTTCTTTGCCTATCCCAAAATAGTTCATTCTATTAATAAATTTTCTTCATATTCATGTGTCGCTGACAGCTCCTGCTTTGTGTGGTAAAGTTCACACTATTGAACCACATTGTAAAACAGTTACAGGCAAAATTATTCTATCTGTGACCATTTTATTAATACATTATAATTCATGCACTGAAAGAAAAGCAAACATGTGCTATTAAAGTTGCCTGAAGTTAAGTTTATTTTGAAGAAATATGCATCCAACTACATGTTTTATATTTCTTTTTATGTGATCATTTTTAAATATTATTTACTGATGTTGTGAAAGATTTATTAAACGTGGGAAATGTAATCAATGGTGGCAATTTTGATAATAGTTTTCATTTAAGCTTGAATGTGTGAAACAAAATCTGATATTTTTCTCCCAAGCTCCTTTTGTGAGTAGGATAACTTTTGCAATGATATAAAAAATATAACATTTGTCTCTGAGATGGAGAAATAAAAAAATATACATAAAACATGATTAATATTCATATTTGCATTCTACCACTGCATGAAACAAATATCAGTCTTTCTAAAAGTCTTGCCAAGAAAATTATATTTTTGAGCAAGATTCCCCCATTACACTTTCCGCCATTCCCCTAAATATAATAAAGTTCATTGTTGTATAAACTGCTAATTTTAAAAATATATTGTAAATGGGATTTTATCCTTGGAGACTTAAAGCACATCTGAATGTGAACTGAGTGGTTTCCTCCTCAGGGCTCTGTGTGTATTGAATTCAATTACATTTTCCTTCTCATTCTCTGATTGTCTCTTAATGCAAACAGGAGCGACTGGGTGACATCGTACAAGGTTATGGTTAGCAACGACAGCCACACGTGGGTCACACTCACAAACATCTCCGAGGACTTGGTGAGTTGAATTAATCTTCTGACATGCAGTGAATCCAAACAGAAAATCATTATCTCTGTAACCTTGCAAACATCACCTTTAATTTACCCTCTCAACTAGCTACATAAGGAGTTCAGGTAATTACTAATTGGGACTAAAATAAATAAAATGAATTATAGCTTGAGAATAATTACTGAGGAAGATTCAGACGCCTGCTTATTTCCAGGCTTAATGATCTGTCAGGTGATAGTAAATACTAATGATTCTCCTGCAGACGGGAACTCATTTTCTTAACGTTGTGTCTGTTTCTGCTTGTTCACTTCATGTAACAAACAGTTATGCCTAGATTGGAAAGTATTGGTCACTAATAACACGGAAAATATGCTGTTTTCAATTCAGGAATAGCTTTGGCTCACATTCCAACTAAATTTAGCGTAACTGCGCTGCTGTGTCTGGTGATGACATCTGCGTGGGTGATTAAACCCCCTGCGGTAATTGAAGTCTCCGCTACAAGCTTCTCTCTCACCCACTCACCCACCCTTTGTGCCAAATGCCAAGCTGCTCTGTTGGCCTTTCAAAATACCAGAAAAGGTGCTGAGAAGAGCACCAGCTGTGGGTGGTAAAATTTGCAGGGATCTCCTCAGGGTATAAAACTTTCATGATATGGTTCATGGAGCGTGGATTTGTGTTTCGGACTGCATTGAAACCAAATGTTTCAAGTCTTTGCTTTTGTTATGCATAGGTGTTTGATTTTTTTGGTACCACTTTACAATAAGGCTCCTTTTATAGATGGATAATAAATGTTTTTTATATATGTTATTAATTCCTCTATAAACACTTTATAAATCATAAATAACTGCCTATTATGCATTAATTAAGGGTGACAGAGAGACAAAACAGACCAGTTTCTTGCCAAATAATGAGCCAAATCTGTTCACTTATATATTTCATCTGGAGTTGTGATATATCATATATATAGCATATTATATTGTACTTTATCACTGCATTATAAGTATTTACAACAAATATTATATCCTAAAAATATTAGGTTTACGAATGCTTATTGTGCTTATAACTTAGTCTGAAATGTTTAAGATAACAACTCTAGATGAAATAAACAGATTTGACTCACTATTTGGCAAGAAACTGGTCAGTTTTCTCTGCCACCCTTAACTAATGCATAATAAACAATTATTAATGATTTATAAAGTGCTTATAGAGGAATTAATAATGTCTCTATTAACTATTTATTAGCCATAAGGGGGGCCTTATTGTAAAGCGGTACTGTTTTTTCTTATGCATACCTTTGTATTGCGATAAATTAAATATTTTAAAGTGGACTTCTGCAAAATGGTGATGAATAAACAATGTCTTACCTGTTGTAGGCAGCTCTTCGAGTCACCTTAGTTTGGCGAAATAGTTTAATTTGTCAGGATTGATGAGCCAACGACTAGTCCGAACAGAGTCAGTTCCACAGCTGATGCGGGTGCAGTTCTAAAAACGTTCCCAACATTAATTTTGCACTATAAGATTATTCCGACATGATAATCCTGCAGGAAGTGGCCCTGACTGCGCTGGAAGTGATACAAATAGCTGCATGAAATTCTTAGTAAACTACAGCATAATGCAAAACTGATGGTCTAAGAGAACAACTATACAATTTTTGTAATTGAAGTTGTTTTAAATGGATTGTTTAAAGTGATGTTCTGTCAAATAGTTATCAATAGTTCAGCTATAAAGTCAGTTTTGAATGGAGTAATAAAGAAAGAGGAAAAAGTCCACAAGCACTAAACTAATGGTCCTATGTAAAAGTATAAAAACTTAAGTTTAGCTAGGTTAATGTTATATCACACTAGTATAACATTTATGAGCAAAGGTTGTTTTATTTGTCTAAATAAATGCAATAAAACAGGGACCAGCTTGGTATTTATTATCCTGACTTGGATTTGCAAATGAACAACATCTAGATTATCCACGCCAGCATGCCTGATCAGCACATCGTCAGTCTAAAAGTTTATTCATCTCATGTCAGACTTCGAATAATTCTGGCAGATCAGCAGCCTTGGCACACCAACTTTTAGTTTAGTAACACAGATGTTCGAGTTCAAGTAGGTTTTATTATCATTCGCATCACATGTGGTGCATAAGGTGGAACGAAATTGTGTACTCAAGGTACCAGTTACATCCAGCAATAGCAAAAATATAAATTGTAAAAAGAAACAGTAATAAGATCTAAGATATAAACTAAGATATCAAAGTGGCATTACAGTGATTTTTTTTTTCACAGTGATAAACCTGATTAGGGATTTATGATCTTGAGTAAACAGACAGTCATGGAAAATGTACAGGTTTAATTTATGTTTTTTCAATGACATTTTTGAGCAAGAGTTATTGAATTTGCCTAAAAATGATGTTTTAAAAGTAGTTTGGCTATCCATTAAGCATAATTCTTTTTCCATTACTTCTTTATCTATAATTGATATTGACATTAATACTGATTCTGACAATGGCTGATAAAAATTAATAACGATAAGTATTAAGAAGAAGGTTACTTCAAAAATGACTAAACCATGTGTTTACAGTGAAGGCAGTCCATTTTGCTCTTGGCTAACTCTTTAGTTAAACCTTTTTTTCCTCTTGAATACAGTCATTCAAGGAGCCATCTACAAAACTGTAAGATAATAAAAGTTCACATCTATAGAACTCCACTATAAAACACTTGAATTGCCATTTTAAAAATATTTCTTTAAAGTCTTCAATCTGCAGCTGATTCCTTAAGAGAACTATAGTTACACGTTTTCAGCTATTAAATTTAAAGAATAAATAGTTTTCAACTAATGACTGTTTGTTTTTTATTTTTTTACCATGTGTTTGCCTCAGTAGATATTCCGTGGAAACAGAGAAAAAGAAATCCCTGTCCTGAACATCTTCCCGTCACCCGTAGTGGCCCGGTACATTCGGATCAACCCTCGCTCCTGGTTTTACAGCGGCAGCATCTGTATGAGAGTGGAAATCCTCGGCTGTCCGTTGCCAGGTGACGTCGTATGAACAAAGCAAACGCCCCGCTCGTTAGAGTCAAACAGATTAGCAGTGATGTTACTTTTGATTTTATAAGCCGAGATTTGACGAAATAAGAAAAGTTGGGCACGACTCCCTGGATCCTATTTCTCACAAAACGCTGTTAATGTGTGATTCTTGGACAGTTTATATTTCAACATTAGGGCTGACTCGGCTCTGTGTTCCAAACCTGGCATGGTTGTGTCGTTTAATATCTTGTGAGGCTGAAGCGTGAGCATCATTCCAAACAAAAGAAAATAATTCACTCATTTGAGTCGCTGAATATCAGTAGCTTTGTCCAATTTGATTCCAGATCCAAATAATTATTACCACAGACGCAATGATGTCATAACGACTGATGACTTGGACTTCAGGCATCACAGCTACAAAGAGATGAGACAGGTGAGTCATGCCTTGGTTTTTTTAATTTTCTTATGCAACATCATGTCACACGCAAGCGAATGCCAGTTAAGTTGTGTTCTTTTGCCAAAGCAAATAAAATAATATTAATAAACCAAGCATTTCGAGCAGCATAAAAATGCACAAAGCACCGTCTGGGTCGTGTCATTACTTATTCATATAGTTGTCATTTGCAGAAGCCTGTTTGTACCAAGAAGCAGGACAGCCGTGTTTGTCACAGTGCACGTTGTGCCTGAGTGGGTGTGAATTGTGATATTCTGTAATGTAGTGCAGGGGTTCCAAACGCTTTCATATGTGGGCCAAAACTATCAAGATGAAAGGCCTCGTGGGCCACAAAACTGTGACTTTAACTCTCAACGTGAACAATATTTTGAAGAAAGGACAAAAGTTTATTCATTTTGGTGGAGAAAGAGTTTTAAATTGTTGTAGATTCTAATCATTAAAAGCCTCATACACACTATTTTATTAAAACGGATTTAATTTATTTGATTTGTCAGGTCTATTTTTGTTATTTTCTTGTGTTTGGAAAGTTCATTTTAGTCTGTTCTCACCAACAAAAGCTTAATTTGAGTATGTGTCCTTTAAAAAATGCGTCAATCAGCCTTTTGGACCATAGACGGCCCAAAAGGCTGATCCAAGTTCTGAAAAACCTTCCAGCTGTCAATCGCTACAACAGATTCATAGAAGGTTTGATAACGTTGATCAACTCGTATGCAGATGACACCACGTTATATTCATTTAAAAATGTCCAGTTTCCCTCTTGATTACTTTATCAACTGCAATATTTAGCCAAGTTTTATGAATCATTATCCAAAAGTCTCCTTTCTGGTAGAAATCAGTAAAGGTTTTTGATGCTTTTGTACTATGAAGTGAAAATAAAATGATTATAGCCAAAAGTTTGTATTTTGTTTAATATTGCTCATTTTGAGAAGATTGTTTTTCATCCGTTTTGCTGTTAAACCTAAACATTGTATAAAAAAAGATTACTAACTAATTTGTAGAAAGTCTGCATTAACCTCTTAAGCTTGCTGGCCAAAATGATACATTTCTTAAAATGCAGTTGTGGGCCGCAAAAAAATCACTCCAAGGGCCGCAAATGTCCCTCAGGCCACACTTTGGGCACCAGTGATGCAGTGTTTCATTATTTTATTATTTTATTTTTGCCATAAAGTAGAGTATAAGTGTCCTGAGCTGCTGTTTACCTCATACACAAGAGACGTTATTCAGGTTCTTCGTAAAATGGCTACACGAATCATTTTTCAACATATAAAATGGTCTAAAGTTTAACGTAAAAAGCGGTGGGTGATATCTATTCTTTCAAGGAATGCTAAACCTTTAATCTTTTTTTTTTTTTTTGTTACCTTTGAGGTTAATGTGTGCCACGCACAGTGTACAACCTCAGTAGGGCTTTCAAAAGAAGGGCAAACTATTTTTAAAGATCCTTTCTCAAAAGCTTTTTCACCCATGACACTTTGCTTCTTTGTGAAGGAACCACGTATCTCCCCCTTTTGTCTGCAACTGATTTAATAGCATTGTGCCAGAACCTTCAAGTGGAGGCGGCCGATTGTGGCTGCTCAGAGGTAAAGCACATGAGAGTAGAAAGGTATCCCTTAAGTTGTTTAACGACTGTCCTTTTCTTACAGCTGTAGTCCTTGAGAATAGATCGGCACAATAAACTATAGACAATAAAACAAAAGAATGATCATTCCCAACATTTTTTAAAAAGAAGATAAAAAGAAGCAGGGAGTTTATATGAAAAGAAAAATGTCTTACATCGATCCCGGTAAATAAAACTGTCCGGGTGTATTTATCAAGGGGGACGCTGAGCTTTATTAAAGCGAGAGCAAGTCTTTCACCCCTTCCCTTGTAATCCTTTTTCCCATCGACAAACCTGACATTTGTTTGGTGATTTACTTGGTTAGAGAAGTCAAGATTTAGCCCAGCTTTAATTAAAAGCCTATCACACCTGAGTGGTTAATGACTTCAGGAGCAGCTGGAGCAGAGAGCCAGCAGAGATTTCCGGCATTAATGCAGTTGCTTCATTTCACAGCTGGTTGCTCTTGTTTCCAGCCGCACTTCTTAATGTGACCACCGATGCTCAAATGGGTAAATAATAACTGTTGCGCTTGTACTCAATTCTTCCATGAGCCTGTTGTTATAACTGCCTTGACTGCTTCTCCAAAGTCACCCTCATTTCTTGGAAAGAAACTAAAACCATAACTGTGACAGAACTGGTTTAAAACACCTATTATGAATATAAACAATTTTATTTTTTATTATTAGTTTATTTGACAGGGACAACATAGAACAGAACAAGTCTGTGACTGATGCGTTGCACAAAGAGTATATAGCTGTAGCTAATTCGCAACTCCAGTCCCTGGTTGAGCATTTCTATGCATTAAAATACATACAATTTATCAATCAAAATACTGTAAGAATACATATGTATTCCTGCCTACATATTCATGTAATCAACATTACAACCTCCAAATTTTTTATTAAAAAAACTATACATTAAAATACGAACAATTTAAAAATCTAGATTTAATAATAATACAAAACATTTTCCTCTATACAAATTCCAAAATAATTTTTTTAAACGAGGCCTCTAGCTCCTGATTTATCTGTTGATTTGGAGTCAAGGCAGTTTCTACTGATGCCTAAAACCCCACAAGCAGCCAAAGATGCTTTTTTCAGCTAACATAATAAAAATTGCTATATAATACTAAGTCACTAATACATACACTCCCACATAGACTTCCTCATCCATAAAATCTGAGTATTAAAAATGATCACATCTTTGATTTTCCTTTAGCCAAGATTTAATCATGCAAACAAACTTTTTTTAGTTCAGGTGTAGCTTTTACATGTAGGGGCAATAAGTTTCATAATGTCGTGCTTTTATAGAAAAAAGAGGTCTGAGCAAACGAGGTTCTACAAAGGGGAGTTATGCAGTTTTGTTCTAATGATCCTTTAGTGACTCATAACTGTTTTGTTTCTGTATAAATGAACTCAATGGATCAGGAGCTAACTTATTGATACTCTTAAAAATTAATTTAAGAAAACATAAAATACAAAAGCTTTTAAAACTCATTAAGTTATGTTTGTCCAGGATTAGACAGTGATGTGATCTTTTTGGCTTTTTGTCCATTACTTTTATTGCTTGGTTATACAATGACACCATTGGCTTAATAGCCGTTGTAGTAGACTGAGCCCATGATGTCATACAATATGAGATATGAGAGAATATTGTGGCATGCATATACCAAAGAGCAGCCTGTACAGAACGTAAGGTGTTATTAATTTGAAACAATTAAGGTTTCTTTTTACTTTTTTTGTAATGTTTGTATGGTTCTCAAATTTTAGATGTAATAAATAAATAATTATTAAATTATTTATTATAATAATAAATTATTATTATTATTAAATAATAATAAACCGGTTCTGTTAATATCTGGACACACTAAGACTTCATATGATTTAGCATATTAGTAAGTGTTGCTTTGAAAAACCTGTCATCGGACTGATTTAAGTGCTGCTAACATTTGGTGCATTCAAGTACCCAACATCCTTTTTATTTCATGTTCATTTATTTTGACAGTTCATTATTCAGAATTTTATTTAGCTCCACTCATGACTCTAATTCTTCTCATCTCTTGGTTAATGGGAAGTATTTATTATGGAAAACCTTCTGTTTATTAGCTAAATACAGCTAATGCCAGTGGGGAACGTTCGGGGCCTTTTTTACCTTCAGAAAAGGCCCCTAAATTCAGCACATATAAATAATTACATTTTTTTTTTTTTTTTATATTGACTTTGCATATGTAGTGATTAAATAGAAGAGAGGGCAGAGTAAGATAGAGGAGGATAACTTAATACTCAAGTATAATTAATGGAAACTTTGATTATGCTTCCCAACATTTTTCAGTCAGGTCATCTGGACAGTTTAGTTTTTTGTGCTGAAACGTTTCGCCTTCAATCCAGAAGGCTTCATCAGTCAAGGAAACACACAACACAGAACTGATTCTTCCCCCAACAGCTTACTCCAAAGTAAAGTACTTCCGGATCGAAGGCAAAACGTTTCAGTACCAAAAAAAAGAAACTGTCCAGATGACCTGACTGAAAAATGTTGGATTGTATACCTGGATTACTGAGCATGGACTTTGTTGTTTTGATTATGCTTGATGTTTTATGTTTTGTGCATTTTATTTTAATGCATCACAAAAGCAACTGTTTCCTTTTGCTTAGACAGTTTAATGTTTTTTTTTATGAGGCCTATGTTTTTTATTTTTTTCTGAGAGTGTGAAAACTGAAATGTTTGTGACAAACTCTTTGTCTCATTACACTGAAGGGATTTTATTCACATTAGATTAGCAGAAGAATCCAACATCACAAAGGAAAAGCCACGGCTGTTTTACTGAACTCGTGAAAAAGCTGACTTTTGTAAAGAGAAGTCTTTGGCAGAAGTAGCTAAAAAGAACTTAAAAGAACCTAAATCATCCGCAGAAGTAATAAAACAAATAGTTCAGTTTTATGTGCGATGTTACTCTGAAAACATAATAAAGCTCTAACAGGGAACATTTTGCAGCAGACTATGGAAAAAATACTAAAACTCATAATTAAATTATTATTTTATTTCACTCCACCTCAATAGATGTTTAACTTACACTCAGCGATGCAGTTTTGAATAGTTTCACCTCTGTGAGCACTTTTTGCAAATCCCAAGGAGGAAAAGTCAAAATAAATAAATAAATAAATAAAGAGTAAATGTATTTGTTTTACCCTCTACAGCTTATGAAAGTGGTTAATGAAATGTGCCCCAACATCACCCGGATCTATAACATAGGAAAGTCCCAGAGCGGCCTCAAACTGTATGCCATCGAGATCTCTGACAACCCAGGAGAACATGAAGTTGGTGAGTCTCTAACGCAACACTGTAGTTTATTTTAAGCACAAACAGATGGAAAAATAAAACCAGATACTATCACGTTGCCATAGCTGAAACAATTGTGTATTTAATTCCCCTCTTGCTTTTCTCCCATTGCTTCCTGCATTTAATCCTGTTGACCAGGTGAACCAGAGTTTCGTTACACAGCAGGTTCCCATGGCAACGAGGTGCTGGGACGAGAGCTCCTCCTCCTGCTGATGCAGTTCATGTGTTTGGAGTATCTGTCTGGCAACCAGCGGGTCCGTCACCTGGTGGAGGAGACCAGAATCCACCTGCTGCCATCCATCAACCCTGATGGGCACGAGAAAGCCTTTGAAGTGGTAGGTCTGCAAGACGACCATTAGTGACCTCATTTCATCAACTGACCTGTGCCGAAAACAGCACCGTATCTGCTTAATAGGCAGGTCTGTAGTAAAAGTGGGCATAGGTCCAGCTGGGAAAATTAGTTTTGATGATCCGATAGGTTGTTTAAAATGAACAGTGGCTGCAAGTGTGCTGCATGTTCTGCTGTAATTTACCACTGGTAACTGTGATTCAGTTAAACTCATAGAAGACGAGATGAAAGGCCGTGTTTTAATGAAACATGAATTGACAAAAAGCAAGTGCTTATTCCACATGTCATATGATTCCTCAGATGTTTGGTGAGCTGAAGTGCAAACTAAGGATATGTCTCACTAATATATCCTTTCTAATTTAACAAAAAAACATACACTATATTTGATGAGTTTATTCAACCCTGTTAAATATAAATAATAGACCTTTTAGCTACAATATTCGTGTTCAGTTCAGGCTGTTGCAGTAACTTTAGCTTTTGAAGCTGTAATATATTTACTTGAATCCGATGACTTTGCTATGTGAAAATAAATCAGCAATAGTGCTACTAGTCATACTCAGTTTAATATCTTTAGCTTCTTTTGACTCACTGTTTTGATATATATAGTCAAATAATAATATAGTCAGGGAGGGGCAAACCACTAGCTAAAAGTAGCAAAAAAAAAAGCTTTCTGCGTGGACCACATGGAGATGAAAAAGAGCCACGGGTCTGCACTGTTTTCTCCCAGACGTTGACGTGTAATCACAAGCACCCTCTTGTAATCTTTGCACGTTCTACACTTGATTGTAATCATCCTGCCGAGCCTTTTATTGCATGAATACAACTGCATACTTACCTCTAAAACCATTTTTTTTCTACACATTTTGTTTAACGCAGGGTTCAGAGCTCAGTGGCTGGTCTCTTGGCCGATGGACCAATGATGGGATAGATGTTCACTACAACTTCCCTGATCTCAACTCCATTCTGTGGGAGGCGGAGGCCAAGAAGTGGATTCCTCGCAAAATGCCCAACCATCAAGTGCCCATCCCAGAATGGTACCAGTCAATAAATGCTTCAGTGAGTCCTACTATCATATAATACTGTATTATAAACTGGAAATTGCACAATTTTTTACAACAATGAATTTAGTGCCACTAGTACTGTCTTGTATTAACTCATTAACATGTATTACGAGTGGACAGACTTCTCTTTATATGTTGTTGATTTTAAGGGTGTTACTTAACATGTACCATAGGAAGCTTTCTGGTGCCAGTGTATTTTAGTCTTTTGCACCGATATTTAAGCTAAAGAAAAGCTTTCACGTTTGTATTGCATAGTGTGAATGCAGATTTGGATGGGATGCTACGTTTTGCAGTACAATCACAGGTGTCCACTATTATTTTCAACTGCATTTACAAAAGTATATTTAGTGATCATAACATTAAAGTGTGCTCCTGTAACAAGAACTAGTCAATGCTGTTCTGAAACTTGGATTCTAGGTCCTAAACTTTTTTTTGTTGTCAAAAGAGCAGTCAGCTTTCTATGACAAAGTCTGGCATTGTGTTTTTTCCCTATTCCTCCCACCTCCACTATAGCAAACACATCTCCCAGTAAAGACCATCAGGCATTTGAAAAGGGTACAGCAGTCACGAGGGCGCATCAGCACCGTCTATTTTGGGAGAAGCAGATGAGTTTGCTATGTGTGACGAAAAGGCGGAGAACTGAAATACACCGAGCGTTCTATTAAAAGCTCCCCCTCACGAGTGTTTTGACGTCGGTGGGAGCTGTGGATGAGTCACACACAGTCTCCAGAATAGCTGCTGCAGCTGCGGGACTGGGATTCCCATCTGCGCTCAAAAAGCAGTAAAACGTATCCATGTTTGCCCCACTGGCTGGTCCAAGTAGAGATGAGAAGCTGGCTTAATCATATGAGCCTGACAGCATGGACAATTGCTGATCACTAGATTTTAGCTGGGTTGTAAAGATTTGCATATTAGAGTTATTATTCCTGGGATAATTGTTCAGCAGAGGCTGTGTAAACAGTCTTTATGATAGCTTTATCACTTCCCCTTGAGAACAAATTGCATCGAGATCATTTCAGCGTGAGGGAGTTAATTTAGCAATCACTGCTTAGATGATTGTACTAATTATGTTATCCACGCCTCTTGTATTCCCCCCACTGCAGGTTGCCTTGGAGACGCGAGCTCTGATATCATGGATGGAGAAAATGCCGTTTGTGCTGGGTGGGAACCTCCAGGGAGGGGAGCTGGTGGTGACCTTCCCGTATGACAGAACCCGCTCCCAGGGGGTGGTCATGGAGCAGACCCCCACCCCTGATGACCACGTCTTCCACTGGCTGGCCTTCTCCTACGCATCCACCCACAGACTGATGACTGATGCCAACCGACGGGTCTGTCACACCAAAGACTTTGCCAAGGAGGACGGGACCATCAACGGAGCGTCCTGGCACACGGCAGCCGGAAGTTAGTGTCCATATCTGCTGTGTTTTGTCATTAATACATAAAGGTTATTTTCCACCCAGCGTGGAGCTTTGAGTTTTTATTCTTGTTTGTTTGTTTAGCTAACAGGAACATGTGCAAATTGATTTGTAGTGATATATTTCACCCTACTTCTGGCTTTAGCCTCAAGCGTCATGGAACAATTCAAACTTTTTGTTTAACCGGTAAAGACAATCTAAAAAAAGTGTTGGCAAGGATTTCAGTAAACTCAAGTCTTAAATTACATCCAATATTGAGATTGTTTTCAAAAGAATGCCTGTCAAATACTGTAGATAGACTAAAATAAAGCACATTCATCCTCCAATTCATAGAGTTTACCACACTCACTGCATTTAGATGTCCCTAACATAGACTGCTGAAGCAAAATAGACTATCAGTACCATACGATAAGAACATAACTACATAACATCAACGTTCATGCTCAATAATCCAGGTACAAAAAATCCAACAAAATTAAATCAGGTTATCTGGACAGGTTTTTTTTTGTTTTTCATCCTTCATCCAAAGGACTTCATCAGTCTGTGGAGCCACAACAAACTCAGTCCCACAAGATCACATGATTTATTTTCATTTTGCCTAAGATGACTCTGTGAATGAAATCTAGTTTAATGAATTATTCATATGTTTTCAACTTCTAAATTTAATGTTTTCCTTTGGTTGCCAGCTTTGGGGTGACGGGTGTCACACCACATTTTTCTCCAGCTGCCTTTATCAAAAGTGATAAAGATTCAAACTTAGACACCTCACGGTTTGGCATAGTAATTCTGAAGGGAAAACTGATATATATATATAAATGTGTGTGTGTGTGTGTGTGTGTGTGTGTGTATTTGAGGTGGCAAAAAGGGGTATGTTTAAGGAGTGTTTGAATTGATAACACTAGGTTCTTCCACAGTCATTTATGTAAAAACAGTCGTAAAAGGTATGATTATAGGTCTAATTATGGGGGGTCAAATTCTTCCTTTCCTCCCTGTAATTTAAACTATGGATTTGTGTCTCTTTCCTGGCAGGTATGAATGATTTCAGCTACTTGCACACCAACTGCTTTGAGCTGTCGATGTATGTGGGCTGTGACAAATTTCCACATGAGAGCGAGCTGCCAGAGGAGTGGGAGAACAACCGCGAGTCTCTTCTTGTTTTCATGGAGCAGGTACAAAGTCATATTTGTCAATCCTTGTTTGTGGAATAAAATACAAGATGTTCTTTCGCACTGAGCTATGTTTCACATCCTTGGAACTTGGGAAAGGTTATGAAGAACTAAAAGCTCATCTGTCATAGTCATAGCATTGGGAAAGGGTTTTAGCTGTGAGCACGTGTGAATCTGAGATTCCCAAACTCAAAACAACTGCATGAAATACAGTAGTCACTCGCTACTTCGAGGTTCTACTTTCGCAGACTCGCGGTTTTCCAAAGTAAGATCGGACAAGACACACAACTGGCTGATTGATGGATGAGCCACACAAGTGGCATGGATTGTTTATTTAAAATAAATTATTTTAAATGTTTTTGCACCTGCTAAATCATTAGGTGCAGGGAGAAGCCTGTCATGATCTCAGCTCTCTGCCACCTGCGGCTCTCTGCCACGTCCACATTTCTCCACTGTCTGAAGCAGTTTCATGCTGCACCAATCGACTTTTGTCTTCCAACTTAAAATTCAAAGTACGTCACATCGTAAAATCGTCATAATCACAAAAATCTAAAAGTATTCAAAACTATTTTTAATTATTTTAGAAATTATAACTTCAGTTGTTACAGTGTAATTCATCAATAAGTATATTTCTACTCCGTGCTGCAGCATCTGCTGCGTGAAGGGTTAACCCTTTGCTGTCCTGCTGCGCTTCTATTCTCTAAAATTTGAACTTAAATACTGTAACATTTTAAATAAACAATCCATGCATGGATTGTTTACTACTACTACTTGTGTACATAATTTTGTTCTATCTCATGTATCACACGAGATGGTAATGACAATAAAGTTTACTTGAACTTGAACCTGGACAACTGTATTTGCAGGTTTTTTACTTATCACAAGTGGCGTGGTCCCACAAACCCCACGACAAACGAAAGACCACTTTATTAAGTTGAGCTTTTTTAACTTTGCATTCACAGCAAACACAAGATGTTGCTTTTAAACTTTTGTGCCCCAAAAACATCAAGCATGATACAGTTTCCCCTTTTATAATGATGAATAATATAGATTTCAAAGTGCTCCATCTTCACTTATAGTAAAATTGCATTTACAGGTATGCAGACACAACTGTGAATATAACTCACTCATGTTTCATTTTTCTCTAGAACACCTGAACTCACTGACACAAGACAGTTTTTAGTTAAATATTGATGCTGATTGTGGTGGAAATATATCAGCAACAATCCCGATGCTGTCGTCTTTCTTTACTCGAGATCACATCATATATTATAAATGAGATCGGATCGCATACTGCTTTAAGTATTACATGAAATAGCGAACATTGGAAGAATGTACTTGTGTCATGCTTTCCCATGCAGGTGCATCGTGGGATCAAAGGCGTGGTCAGAGACCTACAAGGTCGTGGTATCGCTAACGCCATCGTCTCTGTGGAGGGGATCGGCCATGACATTCGCACAGGTACATTCCTACATTTCATCTGAGTTTACTCAGTAACTTGTTGTTTGTGGTTAATCTGAGCTTCCTTCAATGACCATAAAGATGTTCTTTTTTATTATTTTTATGTGGATAAAGGGAGATTTTGCAACTACGGATTAAAATACCGCTTGCATGCCTTAATTCAACTATCACGTCAATTTATTATTAATGCAGTTAGCATTTTTGTAAGACTGAATAAAATGTATAAACAAAAACAGATGATGCGTTTGAGCGGAACTGTCGATTGGGTTCAGAATGAATTAGCAGTCAAAATAAACGAGGCCTCTAGCTCCTGATTTATCTGTTGATTTGGAGTCAAGGCAGTTTCTACTGATGCCTAAAACCCCACAAGCAGCCAAAGATGCTTTAAACTCCGTGTGTGAAATTGAATTATCACAAAGACATATTATGCCTGGAACTGAGAATAAATCACCACTTTCTCCCAGAATCCTTGCTTGCCTCAGATGTAGGACAGTATTTAGGCAATCTATTTAGAAAAATAACTTTCTCAGCTGATTTGATTTTGTTTTATAACAGCCTGAAGTTTCAAAAAACAGATATTTGTAATGCAGTTTAATTTTCCTGCTCACATAATCAACTGTAGAGCCAGAAAAGGACTGATAGCCTTGATGCAGACGATCATTTCACATGTGAAAACTGCTCAGTTTACTGGCATTTCATAATTAAATGTTTTACAAAATAAATATAGTCCACCATGGCTGCAGCTGCAATTAAACATCCAGCCTGAATGTTTAACTGAAGCAGCTTGAAGGCAGAGCCATCCTTGTTTAATTTGTCTCAGTGATTGCCTGGTGTCAGGTGAGTATTTAAATGAATAAAAGGTAAGAAATGTCAGTAAACTTGTCAGATCACTTAAATGCATCATTAAATGCACAGAGCGAGACTAAAAACATTTTTAAATACTATTTTTTAAACATATGATAAATTGTAGCAAAGCAAACAATTTACAAACGCAATTAAGCCAAAGTCAAAATTTCCTGATGCATGCTCAAAGTCAAAATTATTTCCAAAGCACATGATCAAAATTAGATGTTTATTGCCCATTATTGTTTTTGTCTTTGTGTATGTTCTTTTGTCTGTAATGTTAGCAAAATATACCATGAAACATGGCAACTTTTTTATAAAACTTTCAGAAAGTGATCATTGGATGTACATCTACAATTGCTTAACTTTTGGAGTCCACCTTATTCAAAATGGCCACCAAATTTATCCATGTTGAGCTAGAAATGTATGTTTAAGCTGATAACAATCATTCCCAACACAAACTCTGAGCTTTAACTAATCACACAAGATCAGTTTTTAAACTTTGTCAATAACTATTTTATTCAACTACTCAGGATGAAAAAGATAACGTTACTAACACTGATTTACTTCTACGTTAAATTTATTGTTCTGGATAAAGTTTTACAAGGCAATAGCCTAAGCTAAATGTTGGCTTGCTAACTTGAGAGGCATGTAGCTAATGACAAGAGGGTTGGAGGATTGAAGATAATTCATTATTGCTGATCTATTTTACGGATCAGTTACAATAAACATACCACGTTCTGTTCATCAGAATACGCTACACAGAATTGCTCCCTGCTTCAGCTGTGCTGAAAGTGAAAGTTAAATTGAACGACAACGACTTGAAAATAGTTATCACGCACACTCTGCTGGATACATGGTACAGTTATGGCTGGTTCCCAGCATTTTAGGGGTGGCAATTAGAAGTGCTTATATTAGCACAGAATGGGTCAATTATCACCACACCGATACGATAGGTCCCATGGGTCTATATCGGCCTAAAATATCAGCCCTGCTGATATATCAATCAGGCTCTAGTGTTTAGTTCCAGTGGCTCCTGTGGATCTTCCCAATTTAGTCTGGGCCACATGCAAATAGTTTCTAATTTGGGTTTTTAAATGGACAATGATTTTAAATTAGAATCTCAGATTGGAGCGGTAGTTTTTATCATCTCTGACAGCGGGCTAAGGTAAAGTCGATCCTTACACAACAGCAGCTGGAAGCAGTAATCCATGCCATCTCGGCTGGATTACTGCAACACTCTTTACCTCCGAGTCAGCTGGTCCTCCTCAGACGTCTCGACTTCTAACTGAAGATCGAAAGAGGGAGCACATCCAACTCTGGCTTCACTCCTCCTGGAGGTGCCGAGGTCCAAACGGGGGCTCAGAGGGGTCAGAGCTTTATCTGCTGCTGCTCCAAAATTATGAAACGATCGCTCTCTTCCCATCAGACAAGCCCCTTCCCTGTCCACTTTTAAAACTCTTTTAAAAACACATTTTCATTCCCTGGCTTTTAGCACAGACTGAGACGTGCTTCAATTTATTTTTACTACTTTACTGATATTACAGTTTAAACTGCTTTTATTCTTTGTTTAATGTATTGCAATGTTCTTGATGTCACACATACAGCCCATAGTTGCAGCTATGGTTGTTTTAAAGTGTTTTATAAATAAAATAGTGGTAGTAGTAGTGACATGATTTGGTGTTTAAAGCGTCAAACCCACATGCAGGAAAGCAGGAGGACTCTGTAGTAAAAAAAATAATAATAATAATTTATTGAACAAAAACAAAGTGCTGACAGGGCAGCAAAACTTACTTAAACCAGGAGTAGATGACAGAGCCAGATCATGACACCGTGGAAAGGATGAAGCCCGGATGACAAGGGAGTGAAGACACATAGATTAAATACAGACACTAACGAGGTGAGAGGAGGAACACCTGGGGTGAGTGGGATTAGGATCAACTGTGCATGAGGACGAGGAAAAACACAAGTTCAAGTTGTGTTTATTTGTCATATGCAAGGTTAACACACGGTTAACAGTACAATGAAATGCTTAGGATGAGAAGAACCGATTTGACTCGCTAAAAAAGAATCAAAGAACAAACCAACAAGAAAATACAAAAAGCATGCAATAAGGGCACACACACAAAAAGTACAGAAAAGTGAAAAAGTAATTAAAATATTTACAATGTCCTAAAGAGAGATATTGAACACACAGAGGTGCAGGAAACACAGAAAACAGGCTCGTCTCAAGTAGTGGTAGTAGTAATAACAAGTAGTATAGACTCAGGGTTGCCAGATAAACATAATTACATGTTTTTATCCCCTCCTTTTTTCTATTCTGTGCACATGTTCACCAAACACAACGCGTGTCTCATCTTACAACACCTTCTCTCAGCACATGTGACAGTTTAGGTCAAAATATTATTATTTTAAAGCAACAGTACAATAGTTGTTCATTGCTTATCTGGCAATGCTGAGTATAGTAGTAGCAGTATAAAGTAATCTTTGGCTGTATATCTACAACTAATTAGGTTTTGAAGCTGATCAAATTCAAGATGGCTACCACAGTGAACTAGCATCAGCCAAAAGAACGACTAGAATTCTGTCAAATTAACAGCTAAAATATGTTAAATCTTGATGTGGTATAAGCTGATAGATATTCACAAAACACACAAATTTTGCTTTAAAAGTTTTATTTTCTCCCTAGTATTTTATTAATGACTCTATATTTATAGAGTTATCATATAAAATAATAAAAATTCCCTAATTGCTCCAATTTCTTCAGCTACCAAGCATGTATTCAAGGAACATTTTATGCACATGTCTTTGGTGTGCAGCTGCATGGAGGAGGCATCTTAGTCTTTAATTAGAATATTAATAAAAACTGCAGAATCAGCATATTTAGCTTTTTGTTAAACTTATCAGCCAAAAGCAAAAACACAGATGTCAATAATCTCATTAAAGTATTTTATTTTGTTTGACAGAAACAGGAAGCAAAATTGTGACAAACTCTTTTCTAGTTTTTAAAGTCGTCAGTAACAATTTTTTTAAAATTCTCTGAAGTGTAAATGTTACCAGATTATGCTTGCAAACTTCCCCAATTGTGAATTAAAGTGCAAGCTTGTGCTTGACTAACCTGAGTCACTGAACACAATTCCTGAGAACCTGAAACAAAAATATCGACTTGCTCTGTGTGTTTGTCTGTTCAGCTGCTGATGGGGATTACTGGCGCTTGCTAAACCCTGGAGAGTACCGAGTAACAGCCAGAGCCGAAGGCTACGGATTTACCAGTAAGAAGTGCGAGGTGGGCTACGACATGGGCGCCACCAGGTGCGACTTCACCATCATCCGGACCAACTTGTCACGAATCAGAGAGATCATGGAGAAGTTCAACAAACAGCCCATCAAATTACCCGTGAGGCACCTTCAAGCTCGCAGGTCCAGAGAAAGAGGTCTGGGAACATAATGGCCGCCGGAAGAAGCCAGACGAAGAATTAAAAGCAAACATCTGCACTAAAGAGACCAAATGGAGTCCAAGCTCGGATTTGGACCTGAATCAGAGTGCCGTCAGAGGAAATACTGTTCGGAGACTCAAAACGAGTGAAATTAAATGAAAGCTTTATTTGATCCCTGTTTTATTTCGTTTGATCATGTACCCTAACATTTGTGTGCTCATTGTTGGCATATCTTTCTTCATAGCCGTTGTTAACATTAACATTTCATTCTGACAAGGGCCACATTTGTTTGTGTCTTCAAGGGAGATTAAAACTATTATATAAATTCTTATAATGGAGTTAACACATTAAAATCACATCAGAAATTATTATTTTTTTAATGCTAATTGATATGAAGCCTGTTATTGTCTCTGTGCCATGAATGTCATTATGTACATACTTAATAACTTATACAATACAGCTATGTAAATCACTCCAAAAGCTTTATTTCCTGTATGTTTTTTTTATATATTATTATTTTAAATTTTAAATAAATGACTGAACAAATAACGCTTGTTGAGCTGGGAATACGTGCACATTGTATTTGTGGGTTTTACTGTGCTATTTTTTATGTCAGAGTCAGAGAGATTTATTTGTCATTTGCATCGCATGTGCTACATGTGGTGGAACGAGATTATGTGCACAGGGTCCCACTTACATCCACCAATAAAATGTAAAATAAAAACAGTAATAAGATCTAAGATATGAACTAAGAAAAACATCAACTAAATAATATACTAAGCACTAATAGCATAGAAACATTACGTCGAACAGCAGCACGAACATGAGTCTGTGTGAGCAGATGAGCACGCATGAACTCAGCAACATGAAACAGATCAGCAGCAACATGAATCAGATCAGCAGCAACATGATGTGATTTTTTTCACAGTGATTATTAAGGTTAGTGATGCATGAATCTAACAGCCTCAGGGTAGAAGCTGTTCCTCAGTCTAGTGGTTCTGCACTTAATGCTCCTTAACCTCCTTCCTGAGGGGAGCGGGACAAAAAGTGTGTGTGCTGGGTGAGTGGGGTCCTTCATGACGCAGGTGACCCTCTTCCTGCATCTGGCGGTGTAGATGTCTGTGATGGTGGGGAGGCTGACTCCAACATCTTCTGTGCAGCCTTCACCACTCTCTGCAAAGCTTTTCTTTCTGCAGCTGTGCAGCCTCCATGCCACACGTTGATGCTGGAACACAGGATGCTGTCCACTGCACACCTGTAGAAGGAGGTGAGGACTGAGCTTCCCAGACCAACTCGTCTCAGCCGCCTGAGGAAGTAGAGTCTCCGATGTGTCACATTATCCACGGGGATTACTCTACATGTAACTAAAATGAACATAAATATCCATCCATTTTCTGCTGTTTCTTGTCGTGGAGGCAACAGATCCAGGAGGGTAACCCAGACATCACTTTTCCAAGGAATATGTTGCAGTTTTGCCTGGAGGATCCCTGCAAAAGGACAGAGTGAGTTCTGGGTCTGCCCCAAGCTCTCTTTCTAGTAGGATGTGTCAATAATAATCTTTCAAGGGAGGTGCCCAGGCGGCATCCATATCAAAAACCTGAGCCACCTCAGTTCACCTGTCCACGCAGTGGAACAGCAGGATGATGGATCCCCTCGCCTTATCTTTAAGGCTGAGCTCTGCCACCCTATAGAGCAGTGCTTCTCAATTATTTTCTGTTACCCCCCCTCACACACACACACACACACACACTAGGATGAAGTAAACATTTTACCACCCCCAACTCTCTGCTGCGACTGTAAATAGTATAATTTGTGTATAAAATTGTTATAAGTATACCTCTGCATAACATTGTATGCTTATTGACATTAAAGAAAACAAATAATAATATAAATTAACGTACAACGAAGAATAACTTTATTAATATTATTTTTTAGTCTGTAACAGAAACAACTTAAAGTGCATCAATTTGTCTGAAATTAAAAAAAACTTAAATTCTCATTAAACTGTAAACATTTTTGACTATTTGATACTGAAAAATAAAATTTTATATTTATAAATAATAATAAATTAATATTGATAAGCAACATTCAGGAGCACAATATATAAAACACTTTGAACCACCTGATTCTGAAAAATAAAATTAAATATAATCAATAAATAATAATAAATTCAAATTAATCAGCAACATTTTAACTCAGGCATGTTGTATAAAACACTTTGGCCTACAAAACAAAAATTAATAAAACAATTTGTGCTGATATTTTTTAATCAAAAGAGGAAGTCTGGATTAATGTCTACAATGAGCACACTCAAAGATGAACTAAAAAATTGTATCAACGCAAAAGAGGAAAGAGGGGGCAGGTGTCACTCTCGCTTTGAGTTTACTCTTTGTTGCATGCGTGCTGTGGGTGACAAGCATCCTGAGCATCATAGAAACAGCATGTCAATGTTGGAGTTATTTATTTATCGTCTCAGCAGCAGAGAGGAGCGACACTGTTCAAGCATGGCTCCCCAAACGACAAGGCAGTCATATTTGTTCATAACTTTATTATTAGTAAGCCTGAGAGTTTTGATCCAAGCAAACAGTTGCCGGAATGCACCCTGTCAAAATAAGGATAGTAAAATTAAAAAAAGAAAGAAAAAGACTATTCCCTGCGGCAAAAAAAAAAAAAGCATGTTCCACAGGGTCACACATTACCCCACCCCCCAGCGCACCCCACTATTTGAGAAGAACTGCTGCTTAAGTTTGGGATTTTGTTGTTTCAGTCACAATCCATATCTCATGTTCATATGTGAGGGTTAAAACGTAGACATATCAGTTTATCAAGAGCTTTGCCTTTTGGCTCAGCTCCTCATTCACCACGACAGACTAGAGCAACACCCTCATTACAGCAGACAAGGGCTCGATCTGTTAATCTGCCACTCCATCCTACCACTGGGCAGCCCTGATGGAGACAATGCAAGCACAGCTTTTGTTTTAGTTATGAAGGATAGCTCTTAAAAGCAAACACTTTAACAGCAACACAACTTTTAGGAAACAAAGAAAAACAGACAAACCTGACAAAGAACCAAGGAACACCGGACCAACAATAAACACAGAGGGAGATAAATGACATAAGAAACGTGTGCTGATTAGAAATCTATTGCAGATGTGAAACTGGAGCATAAAGATGAAAAGGGACTGACTGAACAAACTGAAACAGAATGTGAAGGGCAAACAGAACTGAAGTCATTTACAACAAACCAAAAGGAACCATGACAACAAGGGGCTGAAATTCACCCTTAGGTTTGATAAATGCACGATGATAGTCCCAGCACGAAGACAAACACATCCTGACAGGCTGAGGATACAGCTTAGATTTGTTTTTTCAAATGAAACTTATTATTATTGATTGTGGTTATATTTAAAGATCATGATTTCTGCAGAAGTGATGCGGTATATCTGGAGTGAGACAGGGAGACTCTAATTGTCAGAGCTCTGCCGGGGCTTTTACGGATCACCGGCTTACTCTGACAACTCCAACTTCCTTCTCTCCGGCCAACATATAATTAGAGGAAGAACTGAGCCTCTTATCTCATCCTCCAAACTTATTGAACTGAGTCTCGCACACCTGTCATCATCTCAAAGTGGACACTATAGCGCTTGTCAGAAAGGGTTAGTGTTGTAAGGCTTTCTGCAGCTCCACGTCATTATCAAAGACTGAGTGCAAGACATAAAAATACATATGTAAAGCTCAGAGACAGAATGTATGAAAGCCCTGCTGGATTAAACTATTAAACTCAGAGAGCATCTATAAAACTCAAGGTTTGGCTCACACAGAAACTTTAGTTCTTAAAACTGATGATGGCAGGAGATACAAAGTAAAAGGATGGCCAGCATCATGTAAAACTGGATCGGGGATTTACTTTAAATTCATTTCCTCCTAATATTGAGATTATTCTCTGTTGGAGCAGTGTCTGTATCACAATGACTTGTTTATAAAAAAGGAAATATTGAAATTTTTGACATGTCGTCAAATCCAGAATTGAATACAAAAATCTTACTTCTAACCTACAAAGCCATCAACAACCTAGCTCCATCTTATATTACAGATCTTATTGTCCCATATTTTCCTAATAGAGCACTTCACTCTCAGACTGCAGGTTTACTTGTGGTCCCTAGAGTTTCTAAAAGCAGAATGGGAAGAAGATCTTTCAGTTATCAGGCTCCAACTTCCAGTTTCTGTCCGTAAGGCTGACACTTTGTCCAGTTTTAAGACTGGGCTTAAGACTCTCCTTTTGAAAAAAAAAAAAAATCTTATAGTTAGGGTTGGCTTGTTATGCTGCCACAGACTTAGACTACTGGAGGAAAAAAAAAAAACTCATTTCCTTAAATGAATTGTTAAAATTGAACAGTTTGCATTTGAAACTATTTCTAGCTTAACATGCAATTCTCAATCTGCCATTGTGTATCTGTTCCTCTCAAACCCAGCTGGTCGAAGCAGATGACCGCTTGTCCTGAGCCTGGTTTTGCTAAAAGTTTCTTCCTCATGAGGGAGTTTTTCCTTTCCACTGTCGCCTTCATGCTTGCTCAAGATGAGATGAGATGAGATGAGAGTTCTGTGATGGAGTTAAACTCAAAACAGTCTGCTCCTCAGATAAATAATGTTATTAACTTACTTTTATATGAATGTTTCTGTTCAGTGACCTGAGATGACTTCTCTTGTGACTTGGCGCTACAGTATATAAATGAACTGAATTTAAGTGAATAGAATTTTCAAACAGGAGACATTTAGAAACAGATTGAGTTTCGGAGTCTGGACTGTGTAATCGTCAACGTTGCTGCACGTTAAAATGCTTCAAACTTGGAGGGAAAATCTATCTTACAGAAATTTTATTGAAACAGAGCATGTGCCAGTGAAATTTTACAAGAATTCCTTTTTAAAGTAAAATAGTGTTGGACATAGCTAACCCCAGCTACTGTTAAATGTGTCCAAATCATAAACAATTAAACAGTGGAGATTCTCGTTT